GATGGTAGGCTGAGAATCAGTTTATCCTGAAGCCATTTTTTATAGCTACTACAGTTCATCTCACTATGATAATCACTCGACTTACTATTGGATTTAAATTTCAGATATGCATTTTCCACAAAACCACTTTCACTACAAGCATGCAGAATAATAAATCTTTGTTCTTTTGAAACTGCCCTGTGAAGGCTCCAACTGTCCTCATGCGTATGTGACGTAAGGTGTATGTCTCGTCCATATAAATCATAGGACCAGTTTTTTCTCTATATCCTTTCATCCTCCTCAGAAAATTTCTCCTGAGATGATGGATCTCTAGTTTCTCCATAAGAAGTCTTCTATTAAGTACTGCCTTCCACCAACGAAATCTCATTGCCCTTATCACTTTCCTTAAAGTTTCACGTGATCTAGTGTAATTGTGTTCTTGAACAAACCTCCTGTGTATGCGCCGCAAAGTTGGAACCGTCTTTTCCGTTATGTAAAAATTCATTATAGATCGACGAAGCAAGCCTCCATCAAAGTCGTCGAAATCAGATTTCCGAGTGGCTCTTCGTCTTTTTTTGTTTGGTGTCGAAAAAGATGTCATAGCACCTTCTTTGACAGATTTCATTTTGCTCCTCGTTGCATGAATATAACATTTGCTACAACCTCCGCAGCTTATTCTGATTAAACTTTCCGTTGTAATTGGGATTTAAAATCCATCGTAAACAAGTAGATCTACTGGCACACCAAGGAATAAATGGCGAGAATTAATACGGTAAAATTGAATGTATTCAACCCACGAACTCGTAACAATTCATACCATTCACAGATAACAAGTAATAAAGTTGTTTCACTACCTGACAATTTTTCTCCTGACTGTACGCTAACTAGTCTAGACACGACAAGAGACTACTGAGAAGCCGTGACATTATTAAACAAATTCGCATCACTTGCTACACTTGGCGAGCTGTAATGCAAAAGGAAATAGTATTTTGCAGTTCTTTGCTTTGAAACACTCTGTATATAAGAGAACGGCCGTGGATCTGGGTACCGTTCATTATGTTATATATATTATAGGGGTTCCTAGCGATGTCGTGTTCCGTGTTCTGTACCACCTTATCTGTTTCATACCGTCCGTAAATAACAAGCCAATGAAACGCCTTTTTCTTGTTATTTTTATTGTTCGATGTGAGTACGACTCTCTGCTCGACGCAAAGACGCGCCACGATGACCACATAAAAATATAGGAATTTATTGTGTTCGGTACTGTCTTGAACTCTACGACAATAGCTAATTCTTCACGATCTATTTTTAACTGTGCGCTATATCTCAAAGTTGCGACGCTGGTTACACAATTTATTTCTTGAACAATTGGTGGAACTTTCTCAACAAAATATACACAGGGCACTTTCGTTTTTAGAAACAGCTACGATTGCTCGTCAACAGTGCTTATCTCAGTTTTATACACTAAACGTTACATTTCGCCCCAAATAAGAACATCATGGAGGATTTTTAAAATCGATCTGCATACACCCGCGAAGCCTCGGTAGCATTTCGAAGACTCTCACCTTAAATTAAAATAATGTCGACAACTCCGATGTTGCTGTAAGGGTGTGACAGTTTTTTAGAACTGATGTGTAAAGGTTTTGTTTAGAAACACGATCGAAGCGTAGATTGAGTACTGATCCGTATCGTACGTTTTCATATTTTATCTGAGCGATGTGCAGACTGGATCACTTTTTGTTTATTTTTGATTAATTTTGCAAAGCCCGGCATCTCAGTAATCTTTGTTGTTTACAGGGTGTTTCAGTTTATTGTTGCATAACTTTAAGATTTGATAGAACTTTTAAAATTAATGCATAAAGTCTATATAAACATGGGTCGAAAAATGCGTGGCTTCCGAAATACAGGGTACTTAAATTTACTTTCTAACATAGTTTTTTTTTAAATATTTCGAACAATATTTGATGTATAACAGTGAAAATTGGTATACAAGGGTTTTTTGGTACGACAAAACGAACCAGGGGAATAGTTTTACTGTAGCCGCTAGAGGGCGCTCTCTACTGTACCTGTAGTGTATTAAAATGACCGAAAATTTTTTCTTAGTACAACTTTTTGCTTTTTGAATACAAAACTGATTCTTCTCACTTTTCAACATAAAAAAGCTCTCCTGTGAGTTTTCGTTATAGTTAGCCGTTTTTGAGATATTTCGATTTTTAAGGTACGATGCATTTTTAATTATTTATGGGAAAATAATATTTTTTTTACATTTTCGATTTGGGCATTACAAGTAATTAAGATGATCGTTTAGATTGTGTTTTTAAACACAGAAATAATTCCTAACTCCAAATAAACACAAAAAAAACAGAATATTAATTTGTTTAATTTTCCAATATTATTTTTAACAAATTAAATTAATTATTTACAACTAAAATGCTATTGGATAGTTAGGACAAACATACAAAATCTAAAGTAGTTGCTCGAAATGTAAACCCAATTGTTCAATACACAATTCACATCTACGAATGATCGAACGTGGTATAGCATTATTCAAATAAGGCCTTATTTCATCACATGCATTCCTGATTCTGTCTATTAGCATATCTCTTGTGTTTACGGGAGTCTGGTACACTTTTTCTTTTAGAAATCCCCACACAAAGAAATCTAATGGATTTAGGTCAGGGGATCCATCTTTCTGGATAATTTTCGTCCAGCCAGTTTCTAACTATTCTCGAATAATGAGCTGGACAGCCATCAAGCTGGAACCAGGCCAATCTTCTTAAATCTAACATAACATCATCCCACATATTTGCATGTTCAGCCTTTAAAAATTCCAAGAAGGTCGCAGAATTTAACCTTGCAGGCAAAATGTAGAGTCCAAATAGTCGATTACGTTCACACTAAATTCATAATGAAAATTTCTTTCCCGAACTGCATGCGGATTTTCATGCGACCAAATATGTTGATTATAAAAATTTACCGCTCCACGTCTAGTGAAGCATGACTCATCGGTCCATAAAACGTTACTTAAAAACTCCCTATTATTATCAGTTCTATCAAGAATCCACTGACAAAATGTGATTCTTCGTTCTCCGGCTCCTGGCTGTAGTCCTTGCACATGTTGCAAATGGTAAGAACGTCTATGGTCATTTCTAAGAATACGGTGAACATGGCTTGCCGAAATTCCCAAGACACCAGAAACTCTCCTAACACTTGTGGTCGGATCTCTATCAAACTCACGCAGAATCATACGGGTAAATCTGCGCTGACGAATATTTATGTTTTGATCCCTTTGGAGATTTCCAAAACCATTTTCAATTATTTGGCCATGCACTTTTACACATACTGAGCGAGTTGGATGTCGTCTGTTTGGAAATCTTCGTGCGTATTCTCTGGCTGCTTCTGCTGCGTTTCCATTTACAAAGCCATTCACAAAATGAATATCCGCTAACTCTTGATTGGAGAATAAAAATGGCATTTTTATAAAACTTACAAAAAAAAAACAGGTAAAAGAAACTAAATTTCGTGCATTCACAATTGCAAAAAACGTTTCAAGTTTCAACATACAACAAAACTAACTGTCAACTAATTGACGTTTAACATTATTCTGCTTTCAATTTCAAAGATATTTGTAGGCACAGCCTGCTAAAAATTATCGAGATACTGACTTTTTAACGTTATTTTATCATAAATAATTAAAAATACATCGAACCTTAAAAATCGAAATATCTCAAAAACGGCTAACTATAATGAAAATTCACAAGAGAGCTCTAAAAATGAATATTTCAGCCGCAGCAAAGAATCAACGTTGGCGGATTTTGGTTCTTGACATCCTTTACGATCAGGTACGATGCCTAGAGTACGGAGACCTGTACGATTTCGTCAACTTAGTGAGTTTGATAGGGGCCGTATAGTGGGACTTCGGGAAGCTGGACTTTCTTTTCGGGCAACTGCAGTTAGAGTGCAAAGAAGTGTAGACACTGTGGTTAGGTGTTGTCAAGCATGGCTTCGAGAAGGCCGTACGCAAAGAGCAAGGGGCACTGGACGCCGCCGTAGAACAACAGACCGTGAAGATCGCCGCCTAAGATTATTAGCCTTAAGGGACCGTTTCTCCACTACCAGGTCCATTGCAAATGAATGGTTTGCAGAACACGGAAGACCTATTGGCATGCGAAGTGTTTACCGACGAATGAGAAGTTTTGGCTTGTTTTCATACCGGCCACACTGGGTCCTCCCTTTATCTCGAGAACACCGACGTAATCGCCTTGAGTGGTGCAGACAACGGTCACTCTGGGATCAGGAATGGAACAGTATTGTCTTTAGTGACGAGTCTCGATTTTGTTTAGGCATGCACGATGGCCGTGCCAGGGTTAGAAGGCGACGTGGTGAAAGGAGGAATCCACAGTTTTTTGTTGAAAGACATGTTCATCACACTGTTGGAGTTATGGTTTGGGGTGCTATAGCTTATGGTTCCAGGTCACCTTTAATCTTCATCAGAGGTAACATGAACGCGCAGCGTTATATCCACGAAGTTCTAGAACCCCATCTTTTACCCTATCTTGACATCCTGGTAGATCCAACTTTCCAACAAGATAATACCCGACCACATGTTGCAAGAGTCACAATAGACTTCTTTCAACATAATGATGTCACATTATTACCATGGACACCAAGACCTTCCGACTTATCCCCAATTGAGCACGTGTGGGATATGATGGGTAGGAGATTGCTCAATTTGCAACGTCCTCCTCAGACTCTAGAAGCACTTCGAGAGGAGTTGGTGGTTGCCTGGAATGAGATACCACAGGAGGACATTGACCACCTGATCAGAAGCATGCCTAGGCGCGTTGGAGAATGCGTAGCACATCAGGGTGCATCCACACATTATTAAAGGTCAAAGGGCTTTAAAGCAGTGCAATCATTTTGAAATTTTTATCATTTACTTATTATGCTTCATTAAGTACTTATACAAAATTTTATTAAAATAAAACCATTTAAACTGGGTGTTCGGATTTATATGTCACTTAGTATATTAATTCCGGGTAAAATACCAGTAAACCTTTTCCAGCCTTGATCATATAAGCGGCCGCATCAGAAAGCATCAATTTTACGTTTTCTGATATAACTGGATTTGGTGCATGTAGTAGGGTTAACATATCATTAATAAAACGTGCAACGGTCGAGTGATTGGTTTTTTCTAAGGCTGCAGAATTAATTAAATAAGACACTGGAGGGGTAGATTCGCTTAAAATACCAACAAGTATATTGGCAACATAGCGACCATATGCATCTGTTGTTTCGTCAACATGAATATAAATATTTGTGTTGCATAACTTTTCCCTAATATTTTCTAAACGTACCTGGTAACATTTCTTCAAATAGTTTTTGCGCAATGTGGATTCATTTGGGATATGGCGGCTACAATATTTTTCTAAAAATTTACGGAACGTCGGTTGTTCTAATTTATTCCATGGTATGTTTGATTGTGCCATGGGCTTGCATAAATCAAAATAAAATTCATTTTTAGAATCCTGGTTTTGTTCGGAGCTGCTATATAATGCAGTTGAAACAAACGTTTGTCGCACTTTCCCGTTAAATCGTTTCGCCATTTCCTTGTGAATGGCGGTAGCAAGGTGTTGATCGATCTGAAATTTCGGGTTTGAGGATACCTAAAATCAAACGAGCTCTTAAAAAAAAAACTTTAAAGAAACTTTGAAATAATGAATATTTACAATAGTAGCTCCGTAGACAATGAAAGATTAATTAATTATTATCAATACATATACTCACGTGCTTTAAACACGCGTTACAGTATACAACTGTTCCATCAGTGGATAAATGTTTAGCATTCTTTATCCATTTCTTAAGTAAATCAGGTTTAGAGCTTGATACTTTCGACATGGCGATCTTTTTAAATATTAAACGGCAGCGAAGAATAATACGTGTTTATTTACTACTCAAGTTTTCTAAATAAAGATTGCGACAGGTGCACGGCACCAAGTTATTAATCGGGGAATCACCGATATGCTTTGGGGGAATCACCGATATGCTTTGTAGTCTTTATAATTTGTACACCGATGTCAGATTTACATAACAATGAGTAATAATGAATGTGTTTAGTCTGAATAAAAAAACAAACAAAATGCCATTTTATGTTTTTAAAGCGTATGTCTTTGTATATGGATTATAATATGTAGCAAAAACCTAAAATATTATGTTATATGTAAAAACATGTAAATACATATAAATCCGGTCTTTAGTTATAGTATTAGCTTATAAACCGACATGCAGGCCGATGGGAATTTCATCAAAATCCAACCAGTACTGTCCACGTTATAGGTTTCAAGAATTAGCGGACAAACATATATAGGCAGACCGACGGATATAAGTGGCATAGTTTTTCGTGATGTACATGTCCTTCATATAACACCCAAAAAACACAATATCTCACTTACAACATAGAATGCTTCCAATCCAGAAATGTATGAAGTAAAATTCCTTGAACTGTTCCATTTTGTAGCCTTCCATAGTTTGATTCGATGCGCCCAGAGAACTTTATATTTGACACACGCTAGTAGAAGAAAATCTAATTAGTCAAGGATTAGATTCCTATCAAGACGAACAGGTGTTTTAATCTTATCACTTTATCGAATTTCGAATAGCTATTCTTGATATGTACGCCAGACGTATCCGACGATCGTCACACTTGAATTAGAGATATATATGTCTGTATCTGGGATAGTGGATGGACGCGCGTAATAGAACAAAATTAATATGATGCGCCTTAGCTACACATTTTGACGTAACATCCGTGAATGGCCGAATTTTAAATTCGATACGTCAGTCATCTCCACGGAATCTCATGTGAAAAAGAAATATCTGTCTTCATTGGGAATTCTTCGGCAATTACTAGTTTGAATAGATAAAATCGGTCACGGACTTATATAATAGTTCTATACGTTATTTTTGAGGATCCGAAGTGTGATGATACAAAGAATGGTCGCGTCATTTCTGGAGCGAAATGCATACTTTTCACAGTTTTCAGTGACCTATGTCCTAAACCTCAACTTTGGAGCTACATGGTGTTAAAATTTTAAGAAAAAATTTTTAAGCACCAATAGGCATTTAAAAAAAATAATATGGTACGCAATTGCTTCTTCCGAAGATAACACTGGACAACAAATTTTAGTTTTTTAATTGTATCTTGTGGGAAAAGTGCACTTCTTTGTTAATTTTGGGGCGCTGAATCCAAAAATGACAATGAAATAAAAAAATTAGTTGCGGTTTAGAAAAAAAACTTTTTATTTTTAAGGATATATTAAAAAAGTAACAAGATTCATATACTTATAAGAATCACTATATGCGCTGTCTTTTTGCTGTTCTTTTATGGATCGTTTCTGGAGCATCTCTACCAAGAGTCCAACAGTAGTCTGCAAGCATGGAAGGATTCCACTTTCCCTGGTACCTTTTTTCCATTGTTGAAATATCCTGATGAAAACGTTCGCCGTGCTCATCACTTACGGCTCCGCAATTGTCAGGAAAAAAGTCCAGGAGTGAGTGTAGGAAATGTATCTTAAGAGACATATTACAGCCCATCTTTTGATACGATGACAGCATATTTTTGACAGGGGTTTTATAGTTGTCAGCTTTTCTATTTCCCAAGAAATTAGTGACCACCAGACGGAAATCATTCCAAGCAGTTTTTTCAATACCTGTTAAAGTGTTTTCAAACTGTGTATCTTTCAAAATATTTCGAATCTGTGGCCCAATAAAAATATATTCTTTAACCTTTGCCTCACTTAGTCTTGGAAAATTTTTATGACACAGGTATTGAAAAGCTGACCCATCTCTATCTAATGCCTTGACAAAGTTTTTCATTAGGCCCAACTTGATATGCAGTGGTGGTAATAAAATTTTTTTCGAATCTACTAATGGCATATGCTGTACATTTTTTTGACCTGGCTCTAGGAATTGACGAACAGGCCAGTTTTGTCTGGTGTAATGAAGTGCCTTTGCCCGACTGTCCCATTCACACAAAAAACAGCAAAACTTTGTAGCTGCAGCCCAAGTAAAAGTGCAGCAATTTTCAAATCGCCACAAATATGCCATTGGTGCTCATCGTATTTTATGCATGTCAATAGGTACTTCATATTATCATATGATTCTTTCATGTGAACTGCATACCCTACAGAAAGAGATGTTAAATATTTCCAATATACAATAACACTGCCTTTAAACTCAATGTTGAACTGTCTATAAACAATCTCCATTCTTCTGGGTTATAGTTTATATTTAAAGCCGCCAGTAAGCCGTTAATGTTACTGCAGAAAACCAAGTTATTCTCCATATTGAAAAACTTTTCTAAGTCTTTATGGCGTTTACGAAAAACACATACCGAAACATCGTCTTCTAACAAGTTCCACTGCTGCAGTCTTGATCCAAGTAACTCTGCCTTACATTTTGGAAGTTCTAAATCTCTTACAAGATCATTTAATTCTGACTGTGTTATTTTGTGCGGTTGGTGGCATGACGTGCTCGGTATAAAATCAGGATCTCTTGACGTTGATGGCATATCTTCTTCCTGACGAATCACTCGATCGCCATGATCTGATTCGTTTTCTGATTCGCAAGTGTAGGATTCTGGGGGTTTTGGAATAGGATTTTCGTCACTGTGAGGCACAGGTCTCATCGCAGATGGTATGTTTGGGTAGTTAATAACCGATTTTTTTTTCTTGGACATACCTGTGGCTTGTCCAACACAAGGTACCATGCAAAAGTAATAATCATTAATATGATTTGTAGGCTCTCTCCAAACTATTGGGACAGCAAAGCGCATAGACCGTTTTTTGCCATTTAACCAGCTCCTCAGACTTGAAGCACATGTATTACAGCAGATATGGGGTGTCCACTGTTTGTCTTGATCACCTAGTTTACAACCGAAATAAAGCTGATATGCCTTTGTTATTAGTGGAGTAATAGACCGTCTCTGAGACGCAAAAGTCACATCACCACACACGTAACAAAACTGATCTGGATTGTTTACACACTTTCGAGACATCTTGCATGAACGCTGTCAGCCAACTGAGGAAAAAATGGCTAATATAAAACACTATAATGTACACGTATGTATAACGTAACACAATCATGCCGATTACATCATCTTTCCTTGCCGAATATAAAAATGTAGCACGTGCATTCTTGTGAATTACAGTATATTAACACTGTCACAGCAGGAACACATATAATTACCGTATCTCTAAAACTTGAACTAATATTGGAAAAATAAGTTTCATTCCGGTTTTAGCACATTAAAAATAGTAATATTTTGTTGATTTTATTTAGGATATTTTTTGGCTGTTGATCAGTGTAATTTTTTGCAAAATTCTCATTTATTTTGCAATTGACTTTTTCCGTCTGATGCACAGTTTCCGCGTGAAAAAAATAAAAACCATTTTTGTGCATTTGTGGTTAAAACGAAATAATTTTGAACTAGTAGACTGGTGCCCTGTTTTGTTTTCACAAGAATGACATTTGACAGATTACGTTGGGGCTTTATTTTGACAAGTATTCATAAACGAGATAGTTTTTTGCATTGTGAGAGATTCTTTGATCTATTATAAAGAGAAAATGAGTAAACTATGCCAAGATTTACAAATTTCGACTTAGCAGACATTTTACCTACGGACAGAAACAAGTACTAGGGAAATTGCAATAAAGCTTAATGTTTCTCATTTTCTTATTTGGAAATTATTTGTTGATAATTTACTATATTCCTATCATATTAAAAGGGTCCAAGCACTACTGCGCGTGGTTTTCCATTGCATTTAAATTTCTTCCGATCGTTTTTAGAAAAATTTGACATCAAAATACTCCTTACCGATGAAGCTACTTTTTTTCGCAATTCCATTCAAAATTTCCACAATAATCATGTATCGGCTAAAGAAAACTCATACGTCATTTCATGGAAATATGTAGGACAGTATTAAAATTATGATATTTTTCTTAAAATTTTAGCAGCCTGTAGTTCAAAAGTGAAGAGGTTTAGGACATATGTTCCTATAAACTTTTCTTCCCAAAATAAGCTAAGAAATCACATCCTGTATTTTTAGCCATCAATTGAATTACACCCTGTATAAAAATGCCCTCATACCAAGAAGAAGGTATTAAGGTTGTATAATCAGACAGGACATACATTATTTTGGTGTAATATTGCAATAGGAGTGAGAGAATTCTCAAATTATGGTTTATGAAGTCTTTCTCTATACACAAGATTTCGATTTTTAATTCGTTCGACGAGTCACCACTGGTACGAATAATGACTAAGTAAAGAATAATTCTCTCAATATATCTGGTATTCACCTCTCGCGATGTTGTATCACAAAGAATTCTACGAATCCACCTTTGCACTCGATCAAACTGATCAAGATTGATTGGCATCTTTTAATAGCTGACGTTTATACGCCCGTTATGCAATTTTTATTGTTAATATATCGTTGCATTCCACGTGAGTGGATTTGCACGGCTTGTCTGCAACATTGAACGGAATTACTTCTACAAACGTTTGTGTAACACGAAGAAAAACCAAGCACGTGGAATTCTGTTCGTGTACTATCTAAGAGTTACTGGTTCTCTTGGAAATTATTTCTGTTGTAACTAACCGTTCGTTACGATTTCGTGACGTCGTTCACAATGAGATAGATATATATGTGTAGCGTATCTAACAAAGGGGTAATCAAGGCTGATAAATACTGTGTATCGTTGCAAAACTGTCGCAGTCATTTGTTGTTAATATTTCTTACAAGAATGAGAAAATATTGGTCAAGGAATATTTCCAGGTATGTACATTGGATTGCACTTGAGTCACTGTATACTTTAATATATTCTGTCAATCAAGGGGTAATTGTTACAAGTCACTTATTTGCAATGTTCCAAATCCTGACAACTGTGACATATTTTTGCTCAGTCAGCCTCATGTTCACAATTATTTGTGTTCAGATACAAAATTTTACTGGTCCGACACATCGGTTGAAATACTGCTTTCGATTTTCTGCTTTCCAGTATTTAAAAAAAAATAATCTGCATTGGGATTTAGGAGACATTTTTTAATATATGGTTTTGATTTCATCACATACACTCTTCATCTGGTCATCAGATTGGTGAATGTTGAGCTTAATGCGTATCCTGTACTATAAAGCTCAAATCGTATAGTTTATTTTCCGCTGATAAACAATTTTCTATCTAGTTTCCTGCTTTTTTCTGCTTGGTTAAAGACATGGACGACCTCTTACCTTAGAATCGTGTGATAAATAGATCTGTGAAGATTTTTGGTTCACCAGAGTGCTAAAGTGCTAAAGCTGCCTCGCGATCGAGATAACGATCTGCTCACAATCCGTTTCCACATTTCTTGTGGAATTCAGTCGTCCGGTGTGGTCCTGTCTGAAAACCGCCGCCGAACCTCTTCAAATATGTAAATTGGCTCGCGAATGTCGCGCGAAATACGTCAAAATTAAACGAGCATTTCGCACTACACGGTTTCCCTCTTTAAATCCAAGACGGGCTGAATTACACATGATACCAATTTGCTGATTAAAGGTGTGCGGCAGGGGAACCGTCTTTTTTAGAAGATAACGAAAAAAAAAAAACTGTAATTGCTCCAGTTTTTGATGGACTGATATACCAGTGTATCTTGATCAAGCCTTCCATCAGAAATATTGGCCAGGACATGGAATAATTTTACATGAAGAATTAGGAGTAAGAAAATTAATTTCTCGTTGGATACCCCACCTGTTGACTGAAGAGCAGAAAGCAGCCATGGCAATTGGTGTCAAACAACGCTTGACCGTTTCAATTCCGCAAACTCAAAAAATGTGTACAGCATTGTTAGTGGTGATGAATCGTCGATTTACTGTTATGAACCAGAAAGCCACCCGTTCTCGAAGTGTTTCGAAAAAGATGGTCGCGACATTTGTGTCAAAAGCGGGTCAAATTGCAACAATTCCTCTGAATGAGCAAAGAACTGTTACTGCGGATTGGTATACCACCATGTGTTTGCCAAAAGTCATCACCGAGCTTCGAAAAATCAACTCAGGAAGAAGAATCATCCTCCACCAAGACGATGCAAGCTCGCACACAGCCCAAAAAACAAGGCAGTATTTAACGCAAGAAAACGAGGAATTATTGGACCATCCTCCATCTAGTTCCGATCTAAGTCCTAACGATTTCTTTACTTTCCCGAAAATTAAAAACAGACTGCGTAGTCAAAGGTTCCAGTTACTAGAAGAAGCGGTTGACGCATTTAAAAATGCCGTTTTGGATCTGCCAACAAACGAGTGGAATAAGTGCTTCGAAAATTAGCTCGAGAGCATGCAGATGTGTACTAATCTTCGTAGAGAATTCTTCGAAAAACAATAAAGTCACTTAAAACTACCTACCGTGTTGTTTTATTTCCATATGCAAAACTTAAAAGACATCCCTCGTATGTATTTTAAGGGACTGACATCTCTTCTGCCGTGTCTGGTATATCGTTCGAGTAATAAAGATGCTCTACGAGTATATTTGTTGCATTTAATCCAATAATTTTACTCTGTTTCTTTGGCTGTTTAAAAAAAATCAATAACTTAGAAAAGATCTTGTCATGCTATATTTGTTGTTGAAGTGAATTTTGCTTTGCATCTTTTTCACATTTTTAGCTTTGAAAAAGGTGTGAAATGAAAGGAACGGAACGTCGACTTTTGAGAAAGATGTCTTTGAGCACTATCTCGTCCCAACTGTCTAAAGTCTAACCCGTAATCAAGCTCTTGTGTATTTTCATAGTTACGTTTATGTGTTCCAGAATATTCAATATTGCCGTGAAATCTTCGCATGAATCACGTGTTTTCATGCATAATGGTTACGATACGGGTAGTAGCATCAAATACTAAAATCACCAATCTAAGGTTGTAGTTACCCAGGAAAGAAAAACCAGTTAGCAATAGAAATCCTTGAAAACAAAGGATAATAAAATACAAGAAGCTTATTGAGCGTTTGCCCGATAGGTTTGCCTTAAGGAAGGCACCCTTCAAATGCAAAATCGCCCACGTTCGACAGCGGTAGTTTTCCTATTACGTAGTGGCTTCTTGATGCTCAATCGATTAAGACAATTGCCAGCGTGATTGATTAGCAGGAGAATTCGCCCACTCCGCCACCAATCAAACACTATTATGAAACAATCGCAGTAATGCAAACAATGAACTGAGATTAACAGGGAGGCTCCATAGAACAATACCGAACCGGCACCTGCAGGCTATCAGGGAGCTACTTGGGAATAACCATCCATCTTATATACCTAAGAATGTTTATACCATTTTTGTCTTGTTTATCAAGCCAAGGAAGTTTTAGCTTTAGAATTTTATCTGCATATTGTTCTAAAGCCGGAGTTTCCAACCAGGGGGGCGCGCCTCCCAAGAAGGGCATAGAGAGATAGAGAGATGGAGGGCGGAAAGCGTTTGCATTTTATAAAGAAAAAACAAGAAAAAATAAACCAAAAACATTAACAAATAACACTACAATGTCATGTTTAATTTACATGCATAAAATTAGAAATTAAATATCATATTCACTTATTCTGTCAACCCGGCGTCGTCAATCGCAGTTTATACAAATTTCGACAAGTCACAACATGAAATCTGCGCACTTAGAAAACAATTGTTTACCTACTAGACGCGGAAGAGCATCCGTGACATTCATTCGCAGAAACTTGAAAAATTTGACGTTTCAATCTACATGTTTTGTTGACAAATCTGTTTGAGTTTCAAATTATTGCGTCTCACTGTTGAAAGGCAACTTTGTGTATTTACAAACTTCAGTTACCATTTTTATTTAATTTACTAAATTGTTGATTGAGTGGAAGACGCGTTCATAGATCGGCCACTGGGACTTTCTTACCACATCACAATCAAACCAACGTGGCGAAATAATTTTGAAACGACGAACTTTAAGTACCTAATATTGATTCCAAATGTATTTAAAATTACTATTATAACGACAACCTGCCTACAAAAATATAAATCTCCCGTTGGCCAATATACTGTTGAATATATACTAAGTGACATATAAATCCGAACACCCAGTTTAAATGGTTTTAGTTTAATAAAAGTTGGTGAATGTATTTATCTTAGTGTAAATAACAAGTGAAAAAAATTTCAGCCTTATCAGTTGGACATTCCGGTTTTTATACTGCTTTTTTTTTAATTCACTAACGCTCTAAAAATGAATATTTTAGCCGCAGTAAAGAATCAACGTTGGCGGATTTTGGTTCTTGACATCCTTTACGATCGGTTACGATGCCTAGAGTACGGAGACCTGTACGATTTCGTCAACTTAGTAAGTTTGATAGGGGCCGTATAGTGGGACTTCGGGAAGCTGGACTTTCTTTTCAGGCAATTGCAGTTAGAGTGCAAAGAAGTGTAGACACTGTGGTTAGGTGTTGTCAGGCATGGCTTCGAGAAGGCCGTACGCAAAGAGCAAGGAGCACTGGACGCCGCCGTAGAACAACAGACCGTGAAGATCGCCGCCTAAGATTATTGGCCTTAAGGGACCGTTTCTCCGCTACCAGGTCCATTGCCAATGAATGCTTTGCAGAACACGGAAGACCTATTGGCATGCGAAGTGTTTACTGACGAATGAGAAGTTTTGGCTTGTTTTTATACCGGCCACACTGGGTCCTCCCTTTAACTCGAGAACACCGACGTAATCGCCTTGAGTGGTGCAGACAACGGTCACTCTGGGATCAGGAATGGAACAGTATTGTCTTTAGTGACGAGTCTCGATTTTGTTTAGGCATACACGATGGTCGTGCTAGGGTTAGAAGGCGACGTGGTGAAAGGAGGAATCCACAGTTTTTTGTTGAAAGACATGTTCGTCACAATGTTGGAGTTATGGTTTGGGGTGCTATAGCTTATGGTTCCAGGTCACCTTTAATCTTCATCAGAGGTAACATGAACGCGCAGCGTTATATCCACGAAGTTCTAGAACCCCATCTTTTACCCTATCTTGACACCCTGGCAGATCCAACTTTCCAACAAGATAATGCCCGACCATATGTTGCAAGAGTCATAATAGACTTCTTTCAACATAATGATGTCACATTGTTACCATGGCCACCAAGATCTCCCGACTTATCCCCAATTGAGCACGTGTGGGATATGATGGGTAGGAGATTGCCCAATTTGCAACGTCTTCCTCAGGCTCTAGAAGCACTTCGAGAGGAGTTGGTGGTTGCCTGGAATGAGATACTACAGGAGGACATTGACCACCTGATCAGAAGCATGCCTAGGCGCGTTGGAGAATGCGTAGCACATGAGGGTGCATCCACACATTATTAAAGGTCAAAGGGCTTTAAAGCAGTGCAATCATTTTGAAAATTTTATCATTTACTTATTATGCTTCATTAAGTACTTATACAAAATTTTATTAAAATAAAACCATTTAAACTGGGTGTTCGGATTTATATGTCACTTAGTATATTACGTTATTAAGATAAAATAATGGACATATAATTAGTAATTACATGTAGGTATTTTGCTTATTTATTTATTACTTGTTTTATTGTTATATGTGCAAAGTTTGGATTTACCTTCATAGAAAAAGATGAGTTACATTTGCCTCAGAGTATGATACGTATGAAAGCTTTAAGTAACAATAGCATGGGGCCGAATCGCCTAGAAATGTATTTGAAGCAACAACATCCTACTCTGGTTTTGAAGACGAATGTGTTTTTTTCTTCTAAAGCAGAATCACTCAAGCGGATGAGACTGATAGATCGGGAGGTTATCACGCAGGTGTATCGCACCATCTCAAAGCTTCATTTGAAATAGCTTTTATGATACCAAAGCAAAAGAAACCTCATACTATCGATGATGAACTATGTGTCCTAAAAGCCACGCAGATAATTTTAGGAGACGATGCAGAGCAAAAAATGAAGTCTATTTCTCTTTCGAATAACACAGTCAAGCGTAGAATCGATGACATTGCAGCAGACATTAAGTCAGAAATAATTAGCAAAGTAATATTATGGCCATTTTTTGCCATTAGTTGCGATGAATCCACCTACATTGTTAATTGTGCACAGTTAATAGTTTATGTTCGTTCCATCAGCGGCGATATCATTCAAGAAGAGATTTTGTACTCCCAGTCTTTAACAGCAGGTACTACATTTGAAGATATATTTAATTCAATATCAAGTTTTGTTGAACAAAATTATTTGGATTGGAAGAAACTCATTGGACTTTGCACAGTTGGCGCACCTGCAATGATAGCTGTACGATCGGGCTTAGCTAAAAAGCTCAAGGAAAAAAATCCCTCAATGATTAGTACAAATTGTGTTATCCATCGGTAAGCTGTGGCTTCCAAAACATTGCCACAGAAACTACGCCAGACTTTGGATTCGGCTATAAGGGTTGTAAACTACATCAAGAGCAGCGCTTTGAACAGTCGGTTATTTACTTTACTTACAGAAGTACGCTGGCTGTCCAAAGGCAACATGTTTTCTCGCCTATGAAAAAACACTATTTCTTGACAATGTTCAAAGATGGAGGTTGGCTTATTTAACAAACATATTTGACTGCTTCTATGAGCTAAACTTGAAACTTCAGGGCAGAAACAGCACTATAAAAAGCAATTATGATTATATTCAGGGGTTCATATCAAAGCTTCAACTTTGGAATCAAAAAGTGTCTTCCGAAAATGTTATATCTTTCGCCGACACTATCAAGACATCAATTCAGAGTCACCAATATGGCACATGACAAGAAGTCCATTTGTGGTCGATGTGTCATAATAACTAGAAGAAGTTCAGCAAGAATTTCAAGAAATGAAGGCTGATTCGTCCATGAGCGATGATTTCCATCTTTTAGCATTGGAGAAATTTTGAATCAAAAGATGGCCTGTTACTTATGTTTTAATTAAAACTAAACAGCGAAATCGTGTTGATGTCGATAGCGACCTGATGATAGCTCTGGCAAAAACAGAACAACTGGTACAGAACATGCAATCTCAAGTGTCTCATTAGTACCTACTCTTATTTTATTCAAGTTTTTCGATAAAAAACATTTATTAGTTTATTCAAACTTTTATAGTTTCTTTAGTAGAACTGCAATAATAGTCTCTGTACCTATATAATGTGCGTTTTTTGTATTTATTGAAAAAGTACAGGGGGCATGAAAATATAATTTATATTCCGGGCAGGCTCAACAAAAAAAAAAAGGTTGGGAAACCCTGTTCTAAAGCTTTCTATTGCTGCTTCTTTTAAAATTATGTTTTTTTTTGTTTTACAATACTTCTATATCGTTTTCCACTGA